GTATCCTACAGTATGGTAGAACATATTCATAAATGACAGATCCTATAAAGGATTGACATCCAAAATATATAAAGAGCTCACATGCCTCAACAAACAAAAAGCAAATAATCCAATTAAAAAATGGGCAGAGGAGCTGAATAGACAGTTCTCTAAAGAAGAAATTCAGATGGCCAACAGGCACATGAAAATATGCTCCACATCGCTAATCATCAGAGAAATGTAAATTAAAACCACAATGGGACATCACCTCACACCAGTAAGGATCACCATCATCGAAAAGACAAACAACAACAAATGTTGGCAAGGTTGTGGAGAAAGGGGAACCCTCCTACACTGCTGGTGGGAATGTAAACTAGCTCAACCAAAGCAGTATGGAGGTTCCTCAGAATGCTCAAAATAGAAATACCATTGGACCCAGGAATTCCACTTCTAGGAATTTACCGTAAGAATGCAGTACTCCAGTTTGAAAAAGACAGATGCACCCCTATGTTTATCGCTGCACTGTTTACAATAGCCAAGATATGGAAGCAACCTAAATGTCCATCAGTAGATGAATGGATAAAGAAGATGTGGTACATATACACAATGGAATATTACGCAGCCGTAAGAAAAAAACAGATCCTACCATTCACAACAACATGGATGGAGCTAGAGGGTATTATGCTCAGTGAAATAAGCCAAGTGGAGAAGGACAAGTACCAAATGATTTCACTCATACGTGGAGTATAACAACAAAGGAAAACTGAAGGAATAAAACAGCAGCAGAATCACAGAACCCAAGAATGGACTAATAGTTACCCAAGGGAAAGGGACTGGGGACGATGGGTGGGAAGGGAGGGATAAGGGCAGGGAAAAAGAAAGAGGGCATTACAATTAGCATGTATATTGGGGGGAGGGCACGGGGAGGGCTGCGCAACACAGAGAAGACAAGTAGTGATTTTACAGCATCTTACTAAGCAGATGGACAGGGACTGTGAAGGGGTATGTGGGGGCTACTTGGTGAAGGGGGGAACCTAGTAAACATAATGTTCTTTCTGTAATTGTAGATTAATGATACCAAAAGAAAAAAAAAGTATTTCAGCTCAAAAAAAAGAAAGAATCCTTTATAGGAGAACCTCTCTGAGGATTAAATGTTATATGGTAAAGGTGCTTCATAAACAGTAAAAAAATGCACAAACATCAGTCATCTATTGCACTGGAAGCTACAGAACCTCGCATAGACCTGACACAGAACTGGTGTATTTACAGTATAAATGAGTAAATCCCACTGATGAGCTGTGTGATCTTAGGCAAGAAAAAATGTGATCTCAGACAAGAAAAATCTCTTTCTCTTTGGCCTCCTCTGATACCACTTTCTGGCTCATTCACTCCAGCCATAGGGTCCTTTTCCTGTTTCTCCAACACAGCAAGCTCACTCCTGCCTCAGAACATTTGCACCTGCTATTTCCTCTGCCTGGAACACTCTTCCCAGCTCTTTGCATGACCTTCCCCTTCTCATCAATCAGGTCTCAGGTCAAGTGTCATTTCTTCAGGGACTTTCTCCAATCACCCTGACTAATGTTCCTTCCACACTATTCACCCAATATATACTCCTGTATTATTTTCTCCTTAGAACACTTATTACTATCTGTTGATTTGCTTATTACACTCTCCTCCACTAGCATAAATAGCCTGTGAGAGCTTCCCTGTCTGTCTTGTTCATCACTGTATTCCAATGCCAAAAACAACATCTAGTTCATAGTAAACCTCAATAAGCATTTGAATAAATGAGTTTGAAATAAGGTAATTATACCAAGTTTCATTCATTCAACGGATATTTTGCATGTACCTATGAGCATCCAGGCTCTATTCCAAGATGCTAAGGATTCAATTGAGAACAAAGCAGACAAAAATGCCTGCTTTCTTAGGGCTTGCCTTATACTGGAGAAACAACAAAGGAGATAAAAAGTAAATACACCTAGGGTACCTAACTGGTTTTCTTGGTTTCACTGGATATGGCTGGTAATTGTAGGTCTGCTTTTGTTACGTAGCTGTATTCCTATTGTTAATGTATGTGTGCAATTTAATTAGTAGTTTAAAACATATACATGTTATGTTACTCTACAAGAAGATATGTCAAAGAAATAATCAATCTTCCCATGTTTTCTTCCGTCTGCTACTTCTATAGCTTTTCTTCTTCCTTCCTAATTACAACCCTTTAGTAGAATTAGTGCCTCGTATCAAAAATTACCGAGTATCATAATTCTTCCAAGTGGTAAAGATACCTCAAGACAAACGCTGGGCATAGAAGCCACAGGGCATAAATCTGCAAAGAAGTAAAAAGCTAACCTTTTCAAA